CGGCAGCGAATCAGCGCGGCGCGGCCCCGGAGCCGTCTGCGCGCACTGGGACGCGGGCGCCGCTCGAAGGCACGGGTACGGCCGCCAGAGGGGCGCTGCCCTGGGCACGGTTAAAGCGGTTCCGACGGGAAAGGCACCTACGCGGGGTGGGTGTGGGAGGTTTGGGAGAAGGATAGGGGATCAAGGGCCAAGGGTGGGGGTGAGAGTAGAGGGGCTTGGGCTGTTCCTGATTGGTGGGGTGTACATTCTAGAAATCTCTTAAAAACCCAAGAAACTTGTTGGCCAAGACACAGGCGATGACAGGACAAGTGTCAGGCTTTCAGCATAATGTCCCCCAATTGTTGCCACAGTCCACTCACCTCTCCCTTCCCTAATTCTTAAAATTCTGGCCACCATGAATTTTAATGAGCTGAAATCCTCCAAAGAATTGCCAGATTCTCTCCCTCTTTTGGAATATTCCACAGCTAACCAAAAGCTCTGCTGGCAAGCAAGCAACAATCACTAGAGAGAAATCCTTCTACTCAGCTTCTGAGGACTTGTGTCTTTCTCCTGTTGCCTCTATTTCCTCTCTGTTTGTGGGTTGAATAAATAACTATCAGAATTTGATCTGTAGGCCCAAGATCAAAACCCGTGGACTCTGGCACATGGAGTCATTGGTCACTGCAGTGACAGCCCAAGGATAGTGAGTTGTGAGGACATTCAAACATTAGTCAGGGAAGCAAAGAGCATTCTCAACAACATCCTCTTTGGAATTGAGCATTGGGGGGTGGCGGAGGTGTGTGATGTGTATAATTTGGGAGATAAGGTTGGTTTCCAAGCCCAGTTAGTCAAGGATTTCAGCAGTCCCCAGCTAAAATGCAAATATGAAAAGAAGGAACAGAACGATGAGTGGTGGGTGACCTACTATTCAAATCACGGCATAAAAATACTTTATCAGAATATAGACCAAGGGCCGGCCCTGTGGCTCACTCGGGAGAGTGCGGTGCTGATAACACCAAGGCCAAGGGTTCGGATCCCACNAAGTCAAGGGTTAAGATCCCCTTACCGGTCATCTTTAAAAAAAAAAAAAAAAAAAAGAATATAGACCAAGACCTTGAGAGAAGGGACAGGGGATAGGTGTGTTTTGATGAGGAAAAGGTAGAAATAGCAAGGATAAAGGGACTGGAATGTGGGTATTGTCTGGAAAAGAAAGACCTGGTGGAAGGGGTTCCTTGAGGAGACAAGACAGCATGAGGACAAAAGATGCTTTGGGGACAACAGAGGCAGGTAGAAGGAAGAACTGAAAACAAACTTCCCACTTCATTTTGTTGTGGCATGGCCCTATGCATTACACAGGATTTCTCTCTCCCTCATGGAGAAGTGGAGCCTTCACAATTCCTCCACAGTTCTCAAGAGTTACTCTTTCCCAGACCCAAATCTACATTAGCATATCCTACACCAGCAAGGGCGTAAGGACAGTAATCTCAAGGTGATGCTTGTAGACATGATTTAGCTTCATTTTTATGAAGAATACAGAGTTTAAAGTATGATCTTTGGGATCATGCATATTCTTTCCAGAATACAAGCTTCCAGAAAAACCAGCTGAGCCTCTCTGTATTTCATTGTAATGTATCTAAAATTATTCTTGAGGAAACTTTAAGTATCACTTCAGGAGGATGATTTGGCACTTCTGAGCAGCTGGAATATCCTACAAAAGAGGGGTGCTATGATTTGAATGTGTCCTCCAAAGTTCATGTGCTGGAAACAATCCCCAATGCAACAGCATTGAAAGGTGGGATCTTTTAAATAAAATGAGTTGGACCCCCCCTTTTGTGTTCTCATCCCGCTTGCCCTTCCACCTTCCACCATGGGATGATGCAGCACAAAGGCCCACACCAGATGTGGTCCCTTGATCTTGGACTTGCCAGCCTCCAGAACCATGAGCCAAATAAACTTCTCTTTTTTATAAACTACCCAGTCTGTTGTATTCTGTTATAGCAACACAAAATGGACTAAAATAGGGGGTTGATGGTGAGGAAAAACAGTGACCACATTATTACAAAGCACTTTTCAAACTGACCTGCTCTAGAGACATTAGTGACTTTTTTCTATTTGTATTCCCCATGTTCCACCCCAATTTTTTCATTATTATGGTCATTTTGGGGGAATTCAGTCAGCAAAATACTGAAAAGGCTAGTATGATGATGACCTGATCAGCACCGAATTCTCACTGC